TCCCTGGAGCAAGACATTACACTGGTGATATCACTGGTGTTTAAATGTTTGAGTGAATGGGTGAATTAAAGATAGTGTAAAGTGCTTTGAATGTGCATCAGTGCGTAGAAAAGCACTATATAAGACCATTTACCATGTCAGCAGGTTTATTTCATCCAGGGCTGGCAAACCACAGATGTTTAATAGAAAGGAACAGTTACTGTTGAGTTTGAAAGCTATGGGCCTTATAAGACAGGAAAAGTCAAAAGATACTGTGGGGTGGCATTATGGGAAATAGAGGTTTACTTTACTTTATTGTCCCAAAAGAGAAACTGATTTGCAAATAGTCACAAACAACTGCACATTCACACATTCTGCACATTTTGAGAATTGACCCCCGTCCCCTAACACCCTGCTCTCCCTTGCTGCATCTCATTCATCATCAATTGTCAGTGCCAGCCTGTCCTCCATGGAGGACACGTACATCTCATGAGTCAAAAGGAGGGCAGAGAAGATTTCTGCAGACCCCTCACAGCCTGGACACAACCAGTTTGAACCCCTTCCCTCTGGACAGAGTTACAGGTCACTGTAGGCCAAGACAACCAGACACAAGGACAGTTTCTTCCTCCAGGCTGTCACTCTGATGAACACTCAACCCGTGCAATCACCACAGGGCAATAAACTGTAAATATAACTAGCTCTTTCTTTTTTTTTACATTGTATACATATTTAGCAATAGATAGTTTTTTTCTCCTTTTGATTGCTTTATTTTGATTCAATTTTATTCTGTTTTATTTTAATGCACAATTTTTTGGTTGACTTACAGAAACAGAGTGGGGGCCGCTGAACTGGAGTCAAATTCCTCTTGTTTTAAATATACTTGGCAATAATGTTTCTGATTGTGATCTCATCCTTGTGTATTAAATAAAGTAACAGCTGATGATATGAAGGAGCTCCTTGTTCTGTTGGTTTTCCCAAAACAAACCTGAAGCTGTCACACTGATGGAAGAGCCTGAAGCTCAAAGGGTGTTGCAGATTTAAAAAAAAAAACAGGTTTTGTATTTTTGACATGGCACAAGTTCTATAGATACTGATTTACTCTCTTGCTAAAAACCATTTAATTTGCTGGCAATATTAACAACGTTGTTAATTAACTACGGGACAGTACTGACATTACTATGCCAGTAAAGTATGCACAATGTGATGTCACTCTCAATAAAAGACTACTTGAGTCAAAAGAGGTTAGCTTATGCAGGAAATACAGCCGTTGTTGACTTTTCCTACTGTGTACAGCAAATAAAGTCAGTATGACTGTTCCACTTAAGTTTGTCATCAATGAAAACTCCACAGTATTTGTTATCTTAACCATTAACTTTTATAAGTATTGGTTGAACTGCTGAACACTTTCTCCTGAAGTCAACATACATTTTTTGTTTGTTAGCACTGATGCGAGTCTTTGCACTACTCAAACTCCAATACGATGCAGACCTATGCAGTTGTTAGTGTTGAGTAGAAGTCCGACATTAGCATATAAAATAACAGTGGAGACAAAACACAGACTGGGGGGAACCCGTACTGGTGACAAGCAGATCTGACAACTGCTCACCAATTTTCATTTGTTGTGTTAGAAAATCCATGATCCAGGATATAAGGTGAACACTGAAATGGCACCTGGATGGCACCTGGGTTTACCTACATGCTTGTAAAGAAAGTTTAATACAGCTAAAACTGCATCCTCATACTCTTGCCTGT